TTAGGAACCAAGTGAGTGATCCCAGTAGTGAAGAGGCTCGGGAGCGACTTCTGATCGAGAACCTTTTGATACTGTCGGGCGAGCACAGCGTGACACACTACGAACCCCTTCAGCCAGTAATGATGCAGCCCGTCGAGCCCCGGACTTTTTCCAGTTCGGGGCCCTACGGACCGCCTCAGCCACGTCTTCAGGCGTTATGGTGACGGGGTCCATAGGCGTAACACTTGCACCCTGGCTCGCCACAACTTCCATCCAAGGGCCTTCGCTGTGGTTTACGGGCTCTGACCACAGGCCACGCCAAAATGCGACAGTGTCAGCCTGATCCGGTCCTGGGCCCGCTCCACATACCTCTGGTCGCTCCAATGATTTATAGAGCCTCTTCTGATCACTCTGGAAGAGACGATTTTGGTTGAACCGCTTTGATCTCTCGCTAATCGTCGAATCCGCTTCCCCCAAGCAGTGATTTTTTGCTTCAGGTCATCTATGCGCTACGTTAGTTTCTGCGTGATATCCGGCTGGGACAAACTAATATTTGTCCCAGCAAACGCCTTTCTAACGGTGCGCACAACTCTCGGTCTATTATTACCCGACCTGAAGCTTGTAAGTCTGCCGATAAGGGCCCTTGCCTTTGCGATACGGTCCTCGATTCTTTTTCTCCAGGCTGGGATGGCACTACCTTGTTGAGTAGCACGTCCAGCCATGGGAAGTTTGACGCCAATAATACGGCATACTGCCAGTGCGGCGCCAAAAAGAATTGAGTCCGTCTCGCAAAGGTCCCGGCTGGCTTCCAAATAGGTCACCAGCATTGGGTTAAGAGCCCGCACGACAGCCCGATTTCGCTTGCTAAGGGGTATGCGGGGGAAGTCGCGGTCGATTTTCGAGAGGCATGCTGCGCGTTTCCAGCATCGACTCTTCCAATATGCTCCTCATTTTCTCTAGTTCGTGGGGGACTATTCCATCATCGTCTGAATCAACCACAAATGAAATATTAACGGCAGCGTCCACATTTGCAGTTTGCTGCGCAATTAGTGGCGCCGCATTCCCAGCCGTAGCATTTCCATCCGATGAGGGAACAGCCTCACGTCGTAGTCGTTCGAGTTCGGCGTCACCAAATATGTTGGAGCGCAGGATGTACCGAACTCGGTCTGTCAGGTTTTGCTCAGTGACGGATAGAGATGGCTCCAGCTCTGCAAAAAAGCGATGCATCCGAGCCCGATATGCCAAACATCCGGTTTCTTCCCCCTTTGCCCTAAAGTACGCCCGCAGTTCGTTTGCGTTCATTGTTTGTGACCAACGCATGCGACGTGCTCCACCAGCGGCAGGTGCCGCTTGCTGAGTCCGAGAAGACCCAGCCGACACCAAGCCTTCTGGTGGGGATGATGGATGAGGAGGGCTGCTAGGTGATCGTACAGCTCCTCGCGCTCGGCTGGCGGCCCGCATGCTGCCGCGTCCAGCGCCAGCTCCAGACGCGCCCCGGCGACCCCCAGGCAGCGGCCCTATGCGCGTTCCTCTTTGTACCATCATCCATTTATGGGCGCCAAATAACGGGAGACGCCCAAGCCCGGCACCGTTTCGTGGTTCGGTCTTATGCACAAACGGACCTTTGCACCCACAATTTTGCCTAGGCACGGTGCTCACACCTCTTGGCAGGGCGCTGACTGACTGCTCCGACGTAGTAGTTTTGTCAGATAACTGTTACGTCAGCGGGCGATGGGGTCATCACTTCCCTACGCCTTTTAATTATTATTATTATGGGGTATCTATATAGTTTTCTCATCTGGTTGGGTTCTATAAATATATAATTATAAATGAAAATGAAAAGATAAATATACATAAATATCAATAACATAAAATAAATATAAAAGTACATAAATAAGTAAAAGCCCAACCAGATGGAGGCCCTCGGCAGGGGGAGACCAAACGGCCGAGGGTTAGGGGGAAAGGGAAAGAAACCGTCGGACGATGCGGGCGGTATCGAGGAGCACCGCCTTCTGCATTTGAACCTGGAGCGGTCCGCCACGTAGTCCCAGCCGCCTCAGATGATCCAAGAGGCTGACTGGGATTAGCCCGTTTGCAGAGACGACTACAGGAATAATTTCGGTCGGCAGACCACACCACATGTCGGTCACCTCGTGAGCCAGGTCCAGATATTTTGTTTGCTTGTCTGTTACGGCTTTCACGAGGTTCTCGTCATACGGAATGGTAATGTCGACCAAAAATATCCTTGACTGTGCCCGGTCCATCAGCACAATATCAGGCTTATTCGCAAGAATAATCCTGTCTGTGATGATGGCCCGGTCCCAATAGAGCCTGGCGCGATCATTTTAGAGCACGGCTTCCGGCAAGTACTTGTAATACGGCAATTTCCGATCCACGAGACCGTATTTCAGAGCGAGCTCCTGGTGTAGAATTCTGGCTACTAGGTTGTGCCTGTGCAAGTACTCAGAGTTAGAAAGCGTCGAACAACCGGAGATAACATGCCTAAGTGACTCACCGGGATGGCGACAAGCTCGACAGATGTCGACGGTGCCATCCTTTAGGATGTATCTCCGATAGTTGTTGGTCTTAATAACCTGATCCTGTATTGCACAGACAAAACCCTCGGTTTCCCCGAAGAGATCACCAAAGCGTAGCCAGCGGAGGGAGGCTACTGTGTCTACGAAAGGCTCATGTGGAGCCTTGTAGAACCTCCCGTGGAGCTCCTTCTCCTTCCATACGGTCTCCCGGTCGGAAATGCTCTGCACTGCCGGGTCTTGCTATTGCTCGTTAGCTAAGGATAGAGGGGTGTCTTTTATCACAAGAAATGACGTCCTTATAGAATGGATCGTCCGTTCTCGCCAGGAAGTAATCACGGAGGCTGCACACTTCGCGATTATGCATGGTGAGCGCGCTCAAGAAGCCACGACCACCATGTTTCCGCGACAAGTGCAGCCTCATTACAGACGATCTCGGATGATGCATCCTATGGGACGTCATGTAGTGCGGACTTTTCTATCCAGGGCGTTAAGTTCAGTCTGAGTCCACCTGAGTATGCCAAAGGTATACATGAGGACAGGCATGACCCAGCCGTTATATGCGTGTGCCTTATTCACACCGGACAAAAGGCTGTTAAGCACTTTGGTCAAGCGTGCATAAAACACGTCGCAAACTGACTGTTTCATACCAGTCTCATCGATACCGATGTTTTGTGACAAACCCAGGTATCGGTATGTTTCAGCCTCGGAAAGGGTCCTTAAGTTGACGGGCATAAATAAATCTACGCCCTCAGAGTTAGCAACCCTTCCCCTTTCAACATGGAGGACCGCACACTTATCCGTCCCAAGCTCCATTCCAATGGAATTGCTAAATTCACAAGTGATGTTTAGCAATTCCATAAGATGGGAGCGACTGGAGGCGAATAACTTGAGGTCATCCATATAGAAAAGGTGGGTCACTTTTGTCCCTCCTTTCCGTAGCTGAAATCCCCTCCCGGAGCCCTCCAGTAAGGTACTGAGAGGGTTCAGAGAGAGGCAGAACCAGATTGGACTCAGACAATCGCCCTGGAAGATACCCCTTCTTATCCTTATGTGGTTCTCCGCAGCCATCATCCGCTCGCCCAGATGACAAAGGATCGTACTCCACTGCCCCATACACTGCTCGAGGAAGTCTCTAACTGTACAGTCTATCTTGTACAGCTCGAGGACTCTCTTTAGCCATGTATGGGGCACCGAGTCGAATGCCTTTCTGTAGTCTATCCAGGTGGCGGAGAAGTTCCGACGGTTGCGTTTCACCACTTTGCCAATGACCGCGTCAATGAGGAGTGGTTCCTTGGTTCCACGACCAGCGCCCCGACATCCATTTTGAGCGCGCGACATCACCTGATTTGAGTCCAGGTGACAAGTGATTCTCGCGCTCAAAATGGATGTTAGTGTCTTGTATATGGTCGGTAGACACGTGATGGGGCGGTATTTGCTCGGGTATGTGGTACCCTGGTCTTTAGGAACCAAATGAGTGATCCCGGTAGTGAAGAGGCTTGGGAGCGACTTCTGGTTGAGAACCTCTTGAAACTGTCGGGCAAGCACAGAGTGACACACCATGAACCCCTTCAGCCAGTAGTGATGCAGCCCGTCGAGCCCCGGACTCTTCCAGTTCGGGGCCCTACGGACCGCCTCAACTACGTCATCCGGCGTTATGATGACGGGGTCCATGGGCGCAATACCCACACACTGACTCGCCACAACTTCCGTCCAAGGGCCCTCGCTGTGGTTTACGGGCTCTGACCACAGGCCGCGCCAGAATGCTACAGTGTCGGCCTGATTCGGTGCTGGACCCGTTCCACTTACCATTGGTCGCTCCAATGATTCATAGAGCCTCTTCTGATCACTCTGGAAGAGACGATTCTGGTTGAACCGTGTCGACCTCTCGGTATATCGCCGAATCCGCTTTCCCCAAGCAGCGATTCTCTGCTTCAGATCATCTACGCGCTCCGTCAGTTTTTGCGTTATATCCGGCTGGGACAAACTGACATTTGTCCCAGCAAACGCCATCCTGACGGTGCGCACAATTCTTGGCCTGTTGTTGCCTGATCTGAAGCATATCAGTCTGCCGATGAGAGCTCTAGCCTTTGCGATACGTTCCTCAATTCTTCTTCTCCATGCTGGGGTAGCGCTACTATGGCCAGTAGCGCGTCCAGCCGTGGAAACATTGGCGCCTATGATATGGCAGACTGCCAGCGCGGCGCCAAAAAGAATTGAGTCCGTCTCGCAAAGGTCCCGGCTGGCTTCCAAATAGGTCACCAGCATTGAGTTCAGAGCCCTCACGACAGCCCGATTCCGCTTGCTTAGGGCTACGCGGGGAAGTCGCGGTCGATTTTCGAGAGGCGTATTGCGCGTTTCCACAATCGCCTCTTCCAATGTACTCCTCATTTGCTCTAATTCCAGTTCCTGAGCGACTGTTCCATCATCGTTTGAATCATCTACAACTGGGGTATCCACGGCGGCATCCACGTTTGCGAGTTGCTCTACCATTTGTGGCGCCGCATCCTCAGCCGTAGCATTCTCATCCGACGAGGGTACAGCCTCACGTCGTAGCCGTTCGAGTTCTGCGACATTAAATATATTTGAGCGCAAGATATACCGAACTCGGTCTGCCAGGTTTTGCTCTGTGACGGTTAAAGATGGCTCCAGCTCAGCAAAAAGACGATGCATCCTAGGCCGATACGCCAAACATCCAGTTTCTCCCCCTTTCGCCCTTAAATACGCCCGCAATGCGTTGCTGTTCATCTGGGTTGTCCAACGCATGCGGCGTACTCCACCAGAGGCGGGTGCCGATTGCTGGGCCCGCGAAGACCCTGCCGACACCTAGCCAGCTGGTGGGGATGATGGATGCGAGGGGGCTGCTGGGTGGTCGTGCAGCACCTCGCGCTCGGCTGGCGGTTCGCATGCTGCCGCGTCCAGCGCCAGCTCCAGACGCGCAAA